AGTATTGACTGTGGCTCATATAGGGTTTAGGGTTACCATAATTGGGTATATGTATTCATTAATGTGGTTTCCCCCATATAGTAACTTAAATGAAGTTCCTGAACAGCAACCCAGGAAGATTCAGACAAAGTGCACTGGGGGCTTCTTTCCTCCTAGGGTACATGTGCATTCAACCCTAAACCCTAAACCCTAAGTCTCCTTTCCGGACTACGTTAGTTCGACTCGCTTCTCTGCCCAGCCTGTGCACGGTGTAGGTCACATCAACAGCGTGGAAGTAGTTGTGGTAGGGCAAGCTGTTGTAATTGGACTGAACGACCTTGGCTTTGTAGCTCTCTGCTGCAGAACAGATCACATCCTACTGCGCAGCGCCCGTCGAACAAATGTATGCGGGTTTCCCAAAATTAGGGGTGTCATTTTGGGGTCCCCAAATTTAGGATTCTAAGAGCTTGGGGTCTACATTGGGGTCACCCTGTTTTGGGAAACTACCATATGAGGATGAAGGATGAGGGTCAGGTCGGGATTTTCGGAACTGGAGCCAAGAGGCAGAATGAAATTTGTGGAAAGTCTCCGGGTGCGCGAGCATGCGGCCGGTCACTCTGCCAATCAGCGAATCGAAGAACATGTGAACAACCTTGCGGGATGGCCCAGAGATTGCGGGGCCGCTTTCTTAGGTTTTATTGCATCGCCCTTTTTACCCACCCGGTTCGGGTTTTGGAATTGGGGTTTAGGGTTGAGGGCTAAGGATCGGGGGGAGGGTTTAGGATTCAGGGCTTGAGGGGAACAAACAACATTCCAGTACCAACTATGTAAGAACAACAGCAGCGTGATGTCAATAGCAACAGTGGTTTGCATGGCGTGGCTTCATGGTTTGGCGATTTCATTTCGGGGCGCTAATGGTACCTGATTTTGGAACACGACCACATGCTCTCTAGGAAGCTTCGATCTTAATTGAGCGAAGCAATCTAAACGAGGTATTTGGCTCCCTTCTTGCTCTAAACCCTAAATCCTAAACCCCAACAACTAGATCCTGTTAATTCCTGGGTACAAGCCAACCGTAAATCCTGAACCCAAGCCTCTTAACCCCATGAATGTGTGGGCACAAACCAGCTCACACTCGAGGTTCAGGGTATACGGTTTAGGCCCAGCGGCAACTTGCTTGTTCTGGTCCACCGTCAGTTCAAGCACGTCCAAGTCGAAAGAGGAAAACACAGTCCTGCCCAAGAAAGTAAATCCTTTAGTTAGAATACGGTTGAATATGTATACATATCTATATATATATATACTCCAGAAGGTCAATGATCGTGAAGGGCTATCCACCCAGCTACTAAGGCTAGCATGTGCCACTTCTGTGGAAAGCAAGGCGGAGGTGTTTTTTTTCCTAACGTTGGCTCCGGCTGTTTTTTTTCCTAAGGTTGGCTCCACTCGGGGGGTTCCTCTCGATATGAGAGCTCAAAAACGATGACAGTTACGAGGATGGCGA